ACCCTGCTTAAAGCCCTCCGATGGCTGTGCATCAGAGTTAGAATTAAAACCCAGGCTCCTTACCCTTCATGGGAAGGCCTTATCTAATCTAGCCCCTTCTTATTTCTCCCGCCCTCCCTTTGGCTCACTTGCTTCTCACAGTTCTTTCTACAGGCCAACTCCATTCTTGCCACAAGTCTTCTCTGCACATGCTGTGCCCTCTGCCTAAATGCTCTTTCCCCAGATCTTCACAGGGCTGGCTGCTTTGTCCCTTTCAGACGTCAGCTCCAGTGTCACCTTCTCAGAGAGTTCTTTGCCTGATTAATCTGTCTCACCCACTCCTTCCTGCAGTCTTTCATATCACCTGGGTTTACTTAATGTCACCTGAGTTTACTTATTATTACCTGTTTATTTATTTATTATTTATCTTTTATTTTTTTAAAAGATTTTATTTATTTATTTGACAGAGAGAGAGACAGTGAGACAGAGAACACAAGCAGGGGGAGTGGGAGAGGGAAAAGCAGACTTCCTGCAGAGTGGGGAGCCCGATGATGCGGGGCTCAATCTCAGGACCCTGGGATCATGACCTGAGCCAAAGGCAGACACTTAACGACTGAGCCACCCAGGTGCCCCTAATTTATCTTTTAAAAATGTATTTATTAACTTATTTTCTGTCTTCGTCCCCCATCAGAAAGTGAGCAAATGAGAGGAAAACGCTTCCTTTTCTTGTTCACAGCTATATCCCCAGTGACTGGTGAGTAGTAGATCCTTGATAAATGCTTGTTGAATGGATGAATGGATGGATGATGGTCCGGACATCCATTTGGTCTCTGGGCTTTAGTGTCCAGGATTCAGGCTCAGGATGGAGGTAGGTCAGACAGGCAGCGGGGGTACAACGTTTAATGAGTACTTTCTGTGTGCCAGGCCCTGTGCTAGTCCTTTCATGCGATTCAACATTTATTGAACACCTGCTGTGTGCCGGGCCCGGTGCAAATTATTTATTCATGCATTAGTTATTCAAGTCAAAGAGCATTTACTAAGTGTCTACTGAATGCTAGGCAGTGTACATTTATCAAACGTCTATTGTATACCAGTTGTCTCAAATCAGTGCCTGGGTACACAGCAGTTCAATAAATGCCGGAATCAATGAATGTCCTCAAGGAGCCCCTAGTCTTCCTGCTAAAATGGCCTGTAAATAAATAACTAACACACAAAGATAAGGCAATAATGTGGGTGTGTTCAGAGTGCAGAGGGGCCCCTTATCACCTTGTACTGGCAGATACCTTTCTCCGAGTCTTATCTTCTTACCTGGGAACCAGCTCTCTGAAGGTCAGGTAGACTCACCCCTCACTCACCTGCCTCTCCATGCCCTGGGCACCTGGGAAGGACCTGGCCAGCAGCACATGCTCAGTCAGTGCCTATTACCTGATTACTGCGGTTTCCCCCACCGACAGTTGTTCCTTCATTCATATGCCAGGCAAGAGGGCAACAGCTGGGCTCGAACCCTCGTGCTGCTGGCCAGGAGCTAGGAGCTGGGAGCCTCCGACAGGCTGTCCGCCCTCCATTTGGCTTGACTTTTCCAGCTTTACATGAAGGATTTGGTCCTCCTCCCTTGGTATAGCTCTCTGACTAGACTTCTATGGAATCTATTGTAAAAATTCAGGCAATGCGTAGAAATTGTTAAAGACTCCAAAGCTCACCACAGTCAGGAGGCTTTGCCTGATCTGACACTTTCCTTCCCTCCTTCCTTCCCTTCTTTTTTGTTTTAAAATGCATACAACATAAAATTACAATTTTAATTATTTTATTTATTATTTTATTTTATTATTCTATTTATTTATTTATTCATTTATTTATTTATTAGAGAGGGAGAGAGGGAAGGGGGAAGGGGCAGAGAGAGAGGGAGAGAAAGAATCTCAAGCAGGCTCCACACCCAGCGTGAGCCCAATGCAGGGCTTGATTCCACAACCCTGAGATCATGACCCAAGCTAAAATCAAGAGTCAGATGCTTAACCGACTGAGCAACCAGGTGCCCCTTTATTATTTTAGTTTTTAAGTAGATTGCATGCCAAACGTGGGGATTGAACTGATGTGACGATCAAGAGTTGCACGTTCTAATGACTGAGCCAATCAGCGCCCCCCACCCCCCGCCCCCGGCCTTTTTACTATTGTAAAGTGTATAGTTCTAGGGCATTAAGTACATTCACACTGTTATGCAACCATCACTACCATCTTTCTCTCCCTTTTTTAAAAAAATCTTTACCCCTGGGCGCCTGGGTGGCTCAGTCGTTAAGCGTCTGCCTTCGGCTCAGGTCATGATCCCAGGGTCCTGGGATCGAGCCCCGCATCGGGCTCCCTGCTCCCGGGGAAGCCTGCTTCTACCTCTCCCACTCCCCCTGCTTGTGTTCCCTCTCTCGCTGTGTCTCTCTCTGTCAAATAAATAAAATCTTTAAAAAAAAAATCTTTACCCCCAACGTGGGGCTCAATCTCATGATCCCAAGATCATGACCCAAGCAGAAACCAAGAGTTGGATGCTCAACCAACTGAGGCACCCACACACCCCTATTTGTGTCTTATATTTAATAATCAGTTTGTTTAGGGTGCCTGGGTGGCTCAGATGGTTAAGCGTCTGCCTTCGGCTCAGGTCATGATCTCAGGGTCCTGGGATCGAGTCCCGCATTGGGCTCCCTGCTCCTTGGGAGCCTGCTTCTCCCTCTGCCTCTCTCTCTCTCTCATGAATAAATAAATAAAATCTTTAAAAAAAAATCAGTTTGTTTAGAGCATTTACAAACATAACTTTAATAATGTACCAATTATTTTGGTGAGAAATGGCAAATACAGTGTTTGTCATAGTAAAAGTGAGTCTTTAAATCACATTTGAAGTTGCTGTCATGCAAAGTAATATAGTGCCACTGTGAGCAAGTTTAATAATAAAGAATATTATGCAGTTATAAGCTTTAAAAATAGGAAATAAACATATATATGGTTTAAAAATAATTATATATTATCATGATCGACTTAAGAAACAAAACTACACCGCTTCTATAGCAGCTTTATTCACAATAGCCAAAAGGTAGAAACAACCCAAATCAGCAGATGAATGGAAAAACAAAATGTGCTATATATACTATAGATTATTATTTAGCCTTAAAAAGGAAGGAAATTCTGACCCACGCTATACTATGAAAGAACACTGAAAACATTATGCGAAGTGAAAGAGGCCAGACACAAAAGGACAAATATGGTATTATTCCACTTATATGAAATTCCTAGAGTAGCATATTCATGGAGACAGAAAATAGAATAGTGGATGCCAGGGGTCAGACGGAGAGGGAATTCGGGGGAGTTGTTTACTCATTAGGTGCAGGGTTTCTGTCTGGGATTGTTATAGGCTGGATATGTTTCCCCAAAACTCATGTTGAAGCCTTAACTCCCAGTGTAATGGTGTTTGGAGGTGGGACCCTTGGGAGGTGATTAGGTTTACATTAGAGGTCAAGAGGGGCACCTGGGTGGTTTAGTCAGTTAAGCATCTGCCTTCGGCTCAGGTCATGATCCTGGAGTCCCGAGATCAAGCCCCACTTTGGGCTCCCTGCTCAGCAGGGGGTCTGCTTCTCCCTCTGCCCCTCCCTGTCTCGTTCTCTCTCTCTCTCTCGAATTAAAAACAAAAACAAAAACAAAAAACCATTAGAGGTCAGGAGAGTGGGACCCTCTTGATGGGATTAGTGCCCTTATAAAATAGACCCTAGAGAGCTCCTATCCCTCATGTGAGGTTACAGTGAGGAGATGACCATCCATGAGGAAGAGGGCCCTCACTGGACACCAAATCTGCCGGCACCTTGACCTTGAACATCCCGGCCTCTAGAAGCGTAATAAATAAATGCCTGATGTTTAAGCCACCCTGCATATGTATTTTGTTATAGTAGCCCCAAGCTAACAAAGACTGGGATGAAGGAAAAGTTCTAGAGTTGGATGGTGGTGATGGTTGCATAACAACGTGAATGTGAATGCACCTAATGCCACTGAACCATACCCTTAAAAATGATCTAAATGGGGGCACCTGCGTGGCTCAGTCGTTAAGCATCTGCCTTCAGCTCAGGTCATAGTCCCAGGGTCCTGGGATCGAGCCCTGCATCAGGCTCTCTGCTCAGTGGGAGGCCTGCTTCTCCCTCTCCCACTCCCCCTGCTTGTGTTCCTGCTCTCTCTGTCTCTGTCAAATCAATCAATCAATCTTTAAAAAAAAAAAAGATCTAAATGGGGGCACCTGGCTGGCTTGGTCAGTAGAGCGTGAGACTCTTGACCTCGGGGTTGTGGTTCGAGCCCCATGCGGGGGGTAGAGACTACTTAAAAATAAAATCTTTAGGGGTGCCTCGGTAGCTGAGTCGGTTAAACGTCTGCCTTCGGCTCAGGTCATGATACTGGGGTCCTGGGATGGAGTCCCACGTCGGGCTCTCTGCTCAATGGGGAGTCTGCTTCTCTCTCACGCTCTGCCTACTTGTGCTCTCTTTCTCTGTTAAATCAATAAATAAAATTTGATTGATTTGACAGAGAGAGAGCAAGAGAAGGAACACAAGCAGGGGGAGTGGGAAAGGGAGAAGCAGGCTTCCCACGGAGCAAGGAGCCCGATGCGGGGCTTGATCCCAGGACCCTGGGACCATGATCTGAGCTGAAGGCAGATGCTTAACGACTGAGCCACCCAGGCGCCCCTCAATCAATAAAATCTTAAAAAAAAAAAAAATCCCTAGGGGACCTGGGTGACTCAGAGGGTTAAGCATCCATCCAACTCTTGATTTTGGCTCAGGTCATGATTTCAGGTTGGTGAGATTGAACCCTGCATTGGGCTCTGCGCTGGGCATAAAGCCTGCTTAAGATTCTCTCCCTCTCCATCAGCCGCGCCGCCCCCCCCCCACCGCCCATGCATACGTGCTCTCCCTCTCCAAAATGAATAAATAAATAAAATCTTTTAAGAAATTATTTAAATGTTAAATCCTATGCTATATGTATTTGCTGCAATTATAAAAAACCTGCTCATTTCAGCAGTACATATACTGAAATTGAGACAATTCAGAGAAGATTAGCATGGTCCCTGCATAAGGATGACATGTAAACTTGTGAAGATTTCCATATTTCTATATTTTTTATTTTAAAAATTTTAATTATTATTATTATTTTGCGTGTGTAGGTAAAGCGATAGAAGTTTATTAAGTGAAGATACAGAAAAAGCTCTCAAGAGTAAGAGGGGTCCCGACAGAGTTGCCAACGATGACATGTAGGGTTGGTCTTTTATAGAAAGCTAACCAGGGAACTTAAATAGTGAACCATCAGAGATGGGAAGGGCCCTACTGTAGGCAAAGTCCCTGAGATGGGAGAAAGCCATTTAAGAAAAGCCAATGAACAGAAAGCAGAATTGGGTAGGGTTAGGCCAACATTCCCTTCTTTCGAGGAAGGGGGATTGACCAAACCTTTGTCCAGAAGCCTATCACCTGAGACTTAAGACCGGTGGCCGCGCTATTCGCCTTTGGCCAACAGGTGCCCAGTTTTGCTGTTTATGAGAAGAGGTCATCTAAGGGAGAGATGTCTCCCAGGAAAGAAAAGAGCCGCTTTTACTCACCCTTTGGTGGAAGTGATCCCAGGTTTCGGCACCAAAATGAAGTGGTAGAGCTAGGTTCTTGTCTCATGGAGTTGAAGAATAAATCTCTTGGACAACAGAGAGTGAGTAAAGCAACAGAAGTTTAAGTGAAGATACAGAAAAAGCTATTGAGAGTGAGAAGGGTCCCGACAGGGTTGCCCTATTTTTTATTATTTTTTTATGTCTTATTTTTATTTATTTGAGAGAGACAGAGGGAGCGAGCCCTCAAGTGAGCAGAGGGAGAGGGAGAAGCAGACTCTGAGCAGGGAGTCCTAGGTGGGGCTCCATCCCAGGACCCCGAGATCATGACCTGAGCTAAAGGCAGATACTTAACCAAGCGTCCCAGTACTATGGTAGCTTTTGATTCAGACTGTTTGCTGAGGAACCCAAGGAAAACATATTCTGCAATTTTTCCATTCTCCTGTTGATGAATAGTTGGGTTGTTTCACGTTTTTTGAGACTGCATACAATGCAGGGAGGGCTGACATGCTTGTTCATGCCTCCCAGTGCACTCGTGGCTGTTTCTCTAGAATGTTCCTAGAACTGGAACTGCTGGATCCTAGGTCGAACACTCCTTCAGCTTTACCATATATTGCCCACTTAATTTCCAAAGTGCCGACTTACTTTCCCACTTTATTTCTCTCCTGTCCCCTGCCCTCAGCTCACTGTACTGGGGTCACTCAGGCCTTCTTTCAGTTCCTTTAGCACATATGCTCCCCCATCACGGGACCTTTGCATCTGCTATTTTTTCTGCTGAGAACACTTCCCCTACCCTCAGCCTAGCTAAGACCTCTTCTTTCCGCAGTGCTCAGCTCTGTGCTGAGAGCCGCTCCCTGACTTCCTCCTCAAGACCAGACCAGGTCAACCCCATCCTCTCCATGCCCACATTATATACCCCAGAGCCCCGTATACCTCTCTGTTGTGATACACTTATTAGTTGCAAGGTTCCATCTATCTGTGCAACTATCGACACAAAGTCGGTCAACTCTGCTAAGTTTCACTAGCCTGAAAGGAGGAGCCACCCCGTTTGCTTAAGCTTATTGCCCGATCTCCAGCATCTAACAACACTGTGCCTGGTACATAGTAGGCCACTGGCATTATTATTCTCGTAGCTATTCTATATTCTCACTCATATTTGAATCCAGAATGTGATTTTTCCAGCATATCTCAGTATATCTACTGCAGGCCAAAATCATGACAATGTAAACACAATCTCTTTCCTTGAGGAGCTCACAGAGGGAGGTCAATAAACATTTATTGAGCCTGCTGGACCCGGACATATTTGAGTGCTTAGCAATGGTTTAATTGACTTAGATGTCACCTCTAGTGTGAGTACTACTATAATGAGTAATGATGATCACTGTTTATTGAGCATTTATTATGTGCCAGGCACTCTACTAAATGCTTTACAGTTACCATCTTATCCTACCTTCACATCCTACCAGGGAGGCAGTATTATTACTTCCATCTTACTGGTGAGGAAACAGCCTTAGAAAAGTGAAGTCAGGGGCGCCTGGCTCAGATGGTTAAGCGTCTGCCTTCGGCTCAGGTCATGATCCCAGGGTCCTGGGATCGAGTCCCGCATCGGGCTCCCTGCTAGGCGGGGAGCCTGCTTCTCCCTCTGTCTCTGCCTCTCTCTCTCTCTCTGACTTTCATGAATAAATAAATAAAACATTAAAAAAAAAGAAAAAAAAGAAAAGTGAAGTCACTGGTTCAAGATCACAGTTAGTAAATGGTGCCGACAGGATTTCTCAGCCAGAGTGTCAACATCCTACCATGATGCTAAATTTCTCCTGCCCCAATTACACTGCTTTCAGTTGGACTCCCGAGATGGAGTGCTTAATCACAATAATAAATTAGCAATATCTACCATTATGGGGCACTTATTGAGTACTAATCACTTTATATCCATCCATTCATTTATTCAATATTTATTGAGAACCACGTGGGCCAAGCACTATTTGACATGTGTGGGGTTACAGAGGTGGACAAAAAAGATTAAAATTGCTGCTTTGTGGAGTTGTCATCTTAGTGGGAGGAAAAGAACAACAACAAATAAGTAAAATATATGATATATATATGACCAGTGCTACAGAGAAAATGAAAGTAGAAAAGGGAACTATGGCGCGTAATGACTGGGGTTTCTCTGGTCTCATTTCATTCTCCCAAACATCTATTATTTCCCCATCGTAGAAATGATACTGAGATTCACTTGGTGAAGTCATTTACCCACAGGCACACAGCTCATAGGCTGAGAAGTCAGGACTCCGGAAGGGCTGAGGATCCCATTCTTTGCTGTACCCCTACTGAGTGCCTAGGATTGTGGTAAACAAAAGGAGCATCCAACTTTCCTGTATGAGTTTAAGGTCGGGCAGACGGGTAAGTTGACCCAGGTGAGTGGAGAATTCACAAAATTATACTGAAGTGTCCTTGCCATGCCCAGGGCAGACATTAAGCATGATCCCCTGTGGGAGATGAGGATGCAGAGCCGGCGGTCAAGGCTCAGGCTGACGAATGGATTCCCGAGTTCGGGAGCAGAAGGCTAAGGCAGGCTAGGTCATTCTGGGGCTGCTGTTGACTCAGAGGCCTACCAGCCCCTGCCCTGCCCCCACAGCCCGCTCTGTGCCCCGCCCCCTCCCGCCCTGGGTCTCCGGACTCCAGGCCATTAAGCTGGGAGAGCAAGTGGCTAAGTGACCAGTGATAAGCTCCTGCCTCGCCTTGGGGAAGCCAAGCTCACAGGCAAATAACGGCCTCCCAGACAAGGGGGTCTGTGTTTGCAGGCCTCAGCTGCGGGCCATGACAGCTGGCTCCTTCCCCCCAGGTGACCCCCGCTCCCCGCCCCCGCGACTCAGTTTCTGCCCCGCAAATCTTGTGGACCGGTGACGCAGTCTGGAAAAAGAGTAGGGGAGAGCCTGGGCTTTGGAGTTAGAAAGGCGTAGAGCACCACCTACCCCAGGTACATCACATTGTCTGTTGCACTTTAAGAGGGCCTCTTAGAATCTTTCCATCTTCTTCAAAGAGGTACACTTTCATTCATTCGACAAATTCATTCATTCATTCGAGAGACTGAGTATATTTTATGAGCCAGGCCCTAGGGGTTGAGGATAAGCAGTGAATAAGACCAAAGTCAGTCTCCTCAGGGACTTTTCCTTTTATTTCTTTAATTAAAAAAAAAAAATGTTTTTTAAGTAATCTCTAAGCCCAAAGTGGGGCTTGAACTCAGGACCCTGAGATTAAGAGTCCTATGCTCTACTGACTGAGCTAGCCAGGTGCCCCAGGGACTTTCCTTTTATTTTATTTTTTTAAAGATTTTATTTATTTATTTGAGAGAGAGAATGAGATAGAGAGAGAGCATGAGAGTGGGGAGGGTCAGAGAGAGAGGCAGACTCCCTGATGAGCAGGGAGCCCGACGTGGGACTCGATCCTGGGACTCCAGGATCATGACCTGAGACGAAGGCAGTCGCTTAACCAACTGAGCCACCCAGGCGCCCGGGACTTTTCCTTTTAAAGAGAGAGCCAGACAGGGGCGCCTGGGTCCCTTAAGCAGCTGCCTTCGGCTCAGGTCGTGATCCTGGGGTCTTGGGGTGGAGCCCCACATCTGGCTCCCTGCTCAGCGGAGAGCCTGCTTCTCCCTCTCCATCTGCCTGCCACTCTCTCTACTTGTGCTCTCTCTCTGTCAAATAAATAAATAAAATCTTTTATTTATTTATTTGAGACAGAGAGAATGAGAGGGAGGAGGGTCAGAGGGAGAAGCAGACTCCCCACCGAGCAGGGAGCCCGATGTGGGACTCGATCCCGGGACTCCAGGATCATGACCTGAGCCGAAGGCAGCCGCTTAACCAACTGAGCCACCCAGGCGCCCCTAAATAAATAAAATCTTTAAAAAAACAAAACAAAACAAACAAAAAAAATAGAGCCAGACAATAGACTGCTAACACTTGAGTATTTTGTTATAATTGCGAGAAGTGTTCTGAATGAGAAAGAGGTTTTTTTAAAAAAATATTTTATTTATTTATTTGACAGAGTGAGACACAGCGAGAGAGGGAACATAAGCAGGGGGAGTGGTAGTGGGAGAAGCAGGCTTCCCGCTGAGCAGGGAGCCTGATGGAGAGCTCTGGGCTTGATCCCAGGACCCTGGGATGATGACCTGAGCCGAAGGCAGACACTTAACGACTGAGCCACCCAGGCGCCCCCTGAATGAGAAAGTTTTGTGCTAGGGTAAACTGGGCAAACTCACCTGCTCTCAGTTTGCAAGGGGTGGTCTCAAGATTTCTCTCCTTGGGCTGGGGTGAGGGCCAACCGTCCATCCAGCTTCAGAACATCCTGGCCTCACCAGGGAGAAATGCCTGCTCTCTGCCATGAACAGATGTTGTGGGGTGAAGAGGAGGCTTTCCTACAAAGGATGGGCTGTGTATGAATCTAGGAGGTACTCAATAAGCAATTGGTGAATTAATGAAGGTCATTTCAAGGTTTAAAAAGCCACTGATTCCATCTGCAGAGGATGTTATAATGGCTAGCTAGGAAAAGAGAAAAATCTCAGTACTGTTACTCCTAGATCTCTGGAAGGGTGAGGAATTTGGGGATTAAGGGAGGCACAGTAGGGATGCAGGACTTTCATTAGACAGGTACTTTTTTTTTTTTTAAAGTAGGCTCCACACCCAATGTAGGGCTTGAACTCCCCACCCTGAGATCAAGCGTCACTCACTCTACCCACTGAGCCAGCCAGGTACCATTAGACATGTACTTTTAAACTGGGTGCTGGCCCTGTTCTATAGGTAGGAGATACATCCATGAAGCACACAGGGTCCCTACCCTCCCAGGGCTTCCAGTCAGCTGAGAGCATAGGCAACAATAAGATAATGTGATAAGCATTATGAGGGGGGGCAGGAAAGAAAAGACATCGAAGCTTGTTCCAAGAGGGTGAGAGCTATGGGAGGAGAGCTGAAAGGACAGACTCCTCCTGGTGGAAGGATCAGCATATGCAAAGGTCTGAGGAGAGAAAGCAGGTTTATTCAAAGAACTCAAAATAGTTGAGCTTGGTCAGACTTCCAAGGCTTGTTGGGGAGAGAACAGATGTCGGAGAGAAAAGCAGGGATATTCCACCCACGTTGGGCAGCCTTTCCCTTGGAGGAAAATATTTCCCTGATCCAGAACTAGTTAGGGTTATGAAGTCCAGAAGGTCGACTTCATTTTAACGAAGACACAGCATTTACTGACCACCTGGTTATAGAACACTGGCTCCTTCAATCCTCATAGAACTCTTAGATGTTTGACATGACTACCCCCATTTTACAGATGGGATAACGGAGGCTCAGTTTGGGCACCTTGTCCAAGCTCACCAGATCTGGGAATTTAGAATGTTCCTTCATGTAGATGCTTTTATTCTAGCAGTTCCTTTTTACCTGAGGTAATGCAGGTGAAAGCTTTTTTGTAATAAAGCCACGTCCCCATGAGGCATTCTTGTTAACTCTGGCAGGGCTACTGGCCCCATCCCGTTCAGCCTGTAGCACTCAGGGAGCCCAGGAAGGGTCAGTAATGAAAGCCAAAAGGCCCAATGGTCTCTCTTAAAATTCCCTCATGTCTATTCTGGTTCCCTCTCTGGGGGTACTTCCAGATATTATCTTCCGCTAAATAGAGAGTTTGATTCTCAGAAGTTGCAAGACGTGGGAGGTTAAAAAAAAAAAAAAAATCGACAGCATCAACAACGACAAAAAGGCCTGCAGCAGCCTGAACACAAAGAGTTTGAATTTTGAACAAAGGGCAGGGTGAGACCCGAAAGTAAATGCTGACACATCCTCTCTCCAGCTGTGAACTGGGGGTCTGAGGGCTGCGGCAAAGGTCATCGGTCTCTACATCTTTGGGGCAGGAAATGCAATTCAATCCTCTCAGTGACTGATTGCTCTGCAAGATTAATGGAATCGTCCACAACACTGGTCTCTGTTCTGACAGCACAAAAAGTGAATCAGACTTCTCCCCTCCCCTCTCCTCCTCAAGGTCAGCTGATTCCCCATTTTAAAAGTTCAAAACTTTGTCTCCAGGAAATGTGTTCCCCTGGGGGTGTTCCTTTGTGGGGCGAAACTCTACCTGCTGGAGTGAGATCCAAAGGTGATGCCTGAAGGGTCTGAGGACCTTTCTAGGCTTTCATCTGTTCCTACTTCATCTTTCAAAATAAAATTAATGTTAAGGGCAAAATTGTCCCCGAAAGGGTTAACTGCCAGCCCTGCTGTCCGGCCCTCAGGGATTGGCAGCCAATGACAACTTAGCATGATGAAGTAATGCCTGGGTTTTTGATTTCCATTGGTTAATACACTTGTCCATCAATCGAAAGATGCAAGTTTTGAAAGTATCTTTGAACTTTTATGACTCGCCTCCTGGAGTTAACCCCTTAATTAACTCACCTGTTATTTCCAACTTTCCTTCGGATCCTAGCACGGGAAGATGCAGAACTTTAGACACGAAGTCTTCCCCAAATGCCCAAAGCCAGACACTCAGGCTATATGTAAGCTGGTCTTTCTAACTTTGATACTTCCATCTACACAGGACTAGTGAAAAAATTAAAAAAAAAAAAAAAAAAAAGGAAAGAAAGAAAACAGAATACTTTAACAGAAAAAGTATGGTCTGTTGTTCCCCAAAATATTTTTCAAATTTTACAATACAAAATATGACAAAAATCTAGGATTTGGCAAAGCTCAGAGGTGAATATACAAGTCCTTGGTATATTTGGTATATTTACTTTCGATGCCTTTCTTTATGCTTGAAATATCTGATAAATTTAAAAGGGCAAATAATACATAAGATGGTCTCTATATAACCCCCTCAAAATTTTCTCCCTCCTCAGAAGTGATCTTCTTCTTCTCTTTTAACTTAAATGGGATCACAACATATATGTTATTCTGACTTTTTTTGTTTCTTAACCAATCTTGAACTTTTTCTGAATCATGACATTCAGATTTATCTCATCCTTACCTAATATTTTAGAATGATGCAGTTCTACAGATAGTATATGGAAAAATCTCCAAGATCATATTAAGTGAAAAAGGAAAGGAAAGGACAGTGGGTATATCTGTATGACATAATCTTAATAGAAAATATATAGATGTGTGTAAATGCATAAACTATTTCTGATAGATACCCAAGAGACATGCTAACAAGTTTTCTGGGGATGGGAGTGTGAAGGAGAGAAACTCGGTGGGTGGGCAGGGATGGGGGAGAAAGACTTAAAGCAATTTTTTTTTTTAAGATTTTATTTTTAAGTCATCTCTACACCAGTGTGGGGTTCCAATAACCCAGAGATCAAGAGTCACATGCCCGACGGAGCCAGCCAGGAGCCCCGAGACCTGAAGCAATTTTAAAACAATTTTTAAGTTGTGGAATATTTCATAAGTACAATAGAATTTGTAAAATTTTAAAGCACATTTTATTATTTTTTTTATTATTATTATTTTTAAAGATTTTATTTATTTATCTGAGAGAGAATGAGAGAGACAGAGAGCACATGAGAGGGGGGAGGGTCAGAGGGAGGAGCAGGCTCCCCACCGAGCAGGGAGCCCGACGTGGGACTCGATCCCGGGACTCCAGGATCATGACCTGAGCCGAAGGCAGTCGCCCAACCAACTGAGCCACCCAGGCGCCCTTAAAGTACATTTTAAAGAATTACACTCAGGTGCCCATCATCTAGATTAAGAGACAGAACATCACCAGCACCTTTCTCTGTTCACATTCCCTGCCCCTGAGTGGAGTCTCTTCTGCATTTGGTGTTAATCACTCTTTTGCTTTTATTTATGCCTTACTGCTTATGTATATATCTAAACAATATTTAGTTGGTTTAGATTTGCCTGATTTTGAACTTTATTGTCTTAAAAAGGATGAATCAAATGAAATTCCTGTTTGAGTAGGGTAATACAGGTACATAGTACAAAATTCAAAAGGTACTACGCCTTAGAAAATGAAATTAAGTCTGTAAGGTTCCAAGCCAGGCAACTCTAATGCATACGTGTGTTAAAAATGTCACCCTGTACCAAAGAATACATTTGCTTCTCTTTTCCCGGTTCTTTTCCCCATTTTTTGATTCTATATCTTTCCAAAGAAAATCTTGTGCATACAAAAGAATAAATGTAGGTATAAATTTGTCCCCTTTGGTTGATGTAAGTGGTCAGCACAATTTCGTATAAGTATTCTACACCTTGTTCTGTTTTGTGTTAATCTTTTTCTCTTTTTTTAGATTTTATTTATTTATTTGGGAGAGAGGGAGCAAGCAAGCATGAACAGGAGGAGGCACAGAAGGAGAAGCAGACTCCTGCTGAACAGGGAGCCCAATGCGGGGCTCAATCCCAGGACCCCGAGATCATGACTGGAACCAAAGGCAGACGTTTAACCCACTGAGCCACCCAGGTACCCCTGTTTTGTGTGAATTTAAGGATATCATGAAATCACCCTGCATCAGTATATACAGAACTACCTTATTCTTCTTGATGATTTGATAACATTTCAATGGACAGACAAATAGTCCAAGAATTATTTAATCAGTTCCCCAACTTTTGGATCATTTTCAGTCTGTTTCTGCTGCAAACAGGGCTACAGGGGATTGCATCTTTGTTTCTGTGTCTATCAGCAGGATATATATCAGGAAGTGGTTACCCATTTCTAAGGCTTCCTGCCCCATCACCAATTATCTGTCCTTGAGAAGTAGATTTGTCAAATCTGGGCAGGTGGGACGATCTTAAATCTAACTGGTATCCCCAGGTGCCCACAGTGCTACGCTTTTGGCAGGCACTCTGAGTGAGTGGTTTAAGGAATAACACTCCAAACATTCACATTGCACCAGATGGCCCCTTCGAGGAAACCTTTGCAGACATCCCTGTCCCCTCCCCCCACCCATCATTCCAATACTTCATTTTCTCAGGGTCCCTTCGTTCATTCCACAGATATTTCCAGAAGGCTGATTATAGAGACACAGTGCCAAATCAGACTCTGAGATATATCTAGTCTGGTAGGTGAGTTAAGACAAATTCTGGAAAACACTGTAAGGTTGCACTGTCCAATAACACAGACACCAGCTACATACAGCTATTTAAATTTTAATTAAAATTAAATAAAATTTAACATTCATTTCCTTAATCTCACTACCCACATTTCAAGTGCTCAGTAGCCACATGTGGCTAGGGGCTGCTTGCTGGACAGCGCAGCCACAGAATATTTCCATGACCATGTCCTAGGGGAGAGCCAGGCAGGGAGGCACAGTAAGCGGTAAAGCCTGTGAGCTCTGGATTCCTACAAGCCCTGGGTGCAGATCCTATCTCTGTTATTCTACAGCTGTAAAATCTGGGCAAGTAACTTGACCTCTCTTTGAGCCTCAGCCATAGAGGTGGGGAATTATAGACCCTCCCTCATTAGGGCTTTGGGGAAGATTCAAGGAAATAACAAACCTGAGTGGCTTTGCTCAAAGATCGGGTAAGCACTCAAAAATCAGGAGCTCTTATAATTATGTATGAGTATGAGAACGGCTTCAGTTTCTAACAGCTTTTAAAATCTTGGGGATTCCTAACTCCCTTGGGAGCTGTCTGTCCACTCCCTGTCCAGGCTGGAGTATGTCTACAATCAGAGCTGGTTCGTCTGTATCCCCTGCTGTCTTAAAGCACAGAGCTGCTCAACCTTTCATGAATGAAGAAATGAATGAATGGGGCCAACCCGGCCAGGATTTGACTGGGTCTTTTGTAAGAATGAGAAGGAGGGTCCTGGAAGTCATTATTACTAAGTTTCAAATACAACCGGCCTGTTTTTTTTTTTTTTCCCCAACAAGAAATAGTACCTCTCTTGGAGAAGCACCTTAATCCTCCCTCCCCTCTCTCACCTACTGCCCACGCCTCTGGGACAATTAGCCAGCACTGGGAGCTCAAGGGTCTTGGCCCTTCCCCCTTTGGCCCAAAATAACCTCCTCCCCCACTTTGAGCAAATGCCTGGAATTCTTTCAACAGGAGGACAAAGCCTTTCATCTGCCAATTACTGATAAAGGGAAAATGCAAATATCTCTGGGGAAGGTGATCCATCAAGGGCCCAACATTTACTGAGTGACCACTTAGGACCAGGCGGTAGGGTAGGCATTCTGGGGGAGTCCGAGGGAACAAGCCCCCCGGTTGGCCCATTCTTCTCTTTGGTCTGTAGTTTCCTCATGGTTTGTAAAGGGAAGGGATTAAATTAGGTGATGACTCAACCCCTTCCCACTCTGACAGGCCAGGAACTCCCCATTGGGGTGATATATGGACTTAACTGTTTTTGCACTGAGGTGCTTGCCATCGGATCTTTTCCTGACACCTGCCTTTGGGGACCCCTCTGAGGCCACATGGAGAGAGAAGGGTCCCTGGGAGGAAAGGAGAATTAGGATCAAGCAGTCTATTTTGGTTTTGCCTTATTGCACTTTACTTCCTTTTCATGACCCTCCAGCCCTGACGCCCTCCTTTGAACATGTTCATTTCATTATGTGGGAACAAGGAGGGTGGTCAGTATCCAAAAAGCCTGTGAGGGCAGAACCAGGCTCCAGTTTGAGCCCTGGTAACTACACTTAACAAGCTTGTGGCCTTGGGTGAGTGGCTTTGCCTTTCTGAGACTCAGTTTCTTCATTTGTAACATGAGGAATAACAAGACTATTATCCTTTGAGGGGTCTTCTGTGAGAGAGAAGCAAATAAGATGGTCCCTGGTTCTTGACAGAGACCCCTTCTCATTACCACTAAGCTAACCTGGGCTATTTCAGTTTGGAAATAAATTTTGGTATTTGCCATCTAGTGGACTGGGATTAAAACAAACTTCAAAGAACAGTTTTTAGGGGTGGGTGGAAAAGAATATAGAATAGACAGGACAGGAAACTTTAAGGTGAGTGAGGGGGAAGCTGTCTCTTAGGGTGACCAATACAGAGCTGATGGTTCAGTTCATATCCAATCTCTGATGGGGAAGCCACTTCCTCTCCACACATCTGAGTGTTGACTAGGGAGGATATTGGCTTGGCGCACAGGAATCACCCTGACTGATCATGTCTGTGAGCCTCAGTTTCTCTTTCTGCAAAATGACCTGCTCCAACTATCCTACAGGCTTAATGGCAGTAATAAAAATATATTGTTTTTTTGGCAAAGTCTGCTATGAGCATCCATGTTCTTTATTGGAGCTGCGCCCTGTTGTCAATTCCTCCTGATTGTTATCCCAAAGAGCAGGCCCAGTTGGACTGGAGGAATGTTTAGGGCCAGCTTTGCCCATAATCCAAGTCGACCTGACTTGTGCATAATGGAATTACAGGAAGGCACCTTTAGGATTCCACTTCTGGGGGCGGTCACAGCCAACCAGGTACACTGAGGGAAAGCAAGAGAGAGCCAGGACCTCTGCCAGGAATTCCTACAGGATTCATCAAGGGGCGCCCAAAGTTCCGGCACCCCATCCCAGAGCGCCTTGCACCTTTCCACCTAGTTTCCTCCTATAAACGGCCAATAAGGGCTTACCCTTCGCCTGCTTGCCCGCTGCGTTAGGAGGCGCCAGATCCGATTCTCTCCGTATTTCACTCCTGAGCATCTATTTCCTTCTCTTGGCGAGCGCAGAGACCTTTAAAAACTGTCCAACTTCTGTTCCAGGGCTCGTCGCCTAGTAAAGGACTCCACAGACGCGGGCAGGATGAATGAATGAAAGGCAACGTCTTCCGGTCAGCTCGGGTCTGAAAAGGCTCTGGTCTGGCTGTATTTCCTGTACCTGCGTGTGTGTGGGTCCATATCTTTGAGTCCGGGAGTTTAAAAGTTATGCAGTCCGTACAGGTATGGAGCTGCGCTAATTTCTTCCTGAGCCCCCAAATGCCTCCTCCATATGGCAGGTCCTCATATGGGGGTCTGGAGAGGATCGTCCCCCCACCCCAAGCAAGACATGCAGCAGGAAAGAAAAAAACAATTATATATACAAAGCGCTTTGAATTTGGGTCGGCCACGTAGGTAATGGGGTGGGGTGGATGAAGGAAGAGGAAGAGGGGTGGCCCGTGGGGGCCGTGGGCAATGGGGGCAGGGATTGAGGTGGGGGGTCTTTTTTGGGGGTGCCAGGCCTCGGGGGCTTTCTAGCCAGCAAGCTCGGCTTGCATTTCCGCGCCTCCCGCTGAGACCAGCCGTGCAAATCTGCACCTCCCTCCCCACCCCCTCCTCCTTCCCTCCCTCCCTGCCCCGCCATCTCCGGGATGCGCCCGCCGCCTGCAACTCAGCCCTCCAAAAGTCAGCTCTGCACACAACTCCCGGGCGGCGGCGGCGCCTGCGTGCAAGGCGCACTCGTGACCCAACAACAAAACAGCGATGCCAGGGCGCTAACGGCGCCCGGTGCCTCCCGGGCGCCCTCCCCGCCCCACACCTCTTCGGGCAGCCGCCCCCGCCCCCCCCATCCCGGGCCGAGTGCCCCCTCCACTAGCCCGGCCGCGGGCTCAGAGCGCGATCGGCAACAATGTTTACGTTCCGGGGATTATGACGTCGACGCCTCCCCCCCCACAACTGCTGAAAATGGTTTCCTAGGACTTTGCAAACGGATCTGCTTAAGTGTTGGTGCAAAACTTTGTAGATCTCGGCTGTGGCTTGCTTTATTTATTTATTTTTTGGTTTGTTTTCTTTGGTCTTCCCTCCTTCCCCCCTCCGCCAAAATGCAGGGGGCAGGAGTGTTGACAATTAATTGGTGAACTCTCCTAAAAAAATGGAGGCAGAGAAAGACTCTGGAAGAAGATTGGTGTGTAGCTTTTTTTTTTTTTTTTCCAAATCTGTATCTGGTAATGATAGATCTATTTTTTTTGTTGTTGTTGTTTCTTGCTGCCTTTTCTTTCCTTTTCTGTATTTTGCAAGAGGACCGGAAAAAATATAATAAATTGCATGCAAAAGGAAGCAAGCAGCTTACTCCTCCAGTCCCTTGTGAGGCGCAGAGTCTCAGACATTTAAGTGGGGAGGTGGAAGCGGGGAAAGGCGTGGAGAGAGGCTGAGCGGGCTCGGGGTTCGCCCGGAATCTGGGGGGCTGCAGGGCCCGGCGCTGGGCGGTTGAGGGAGGAGGCAGGGGATGCGGGGAGTGGTGGGGGAGTCTCCTTAGGAAGTGAGTGTGCGCGCGCGCTTGTGGGGAGATGAGGCAGCTGCTGGTGCGTTTTGGGGTCTCCGATGGGAGCTTTGTGGCGGGCCGTCTGCCTCCCCCCCTCCCAAGCCCCGACCTCCCCCTCCACCTCTTCTTCTAGCACTGGAGGGCGGTCGGCGGGGGCGGCTGGGGTCTCAGCCCTTCCATTTCAGCTTTCCAGCTTCCCGAGTAGCTCGGGGGCGGCTCCAGCCTTAGAAATGCCGCCGGCCCCCGGTTCCGGCTTCCCGGCTCTGCCGCGGCGGCCGCCCGGGCTGCTGTTAGCGCCGAGCCGGGCGCTGCGGTGGCTCCTCCCGGGGCCTACAAATGCCCCGCCAGCCCGTGCGCGGAGCCCCCTTCGCGGGTTACATAACCAGGCTCCTGGCCGAGTGGGCAAAACTCAACACCTATCGGGGGTGGGGGGCAAGGGAGAGCCCCAGATGTCCTTTCCACGGCCTCCAAAGATGCAGGAGGGGAGTGTCCTGTGTGGGGCACAGCCGGACCCCGGGGGTGCGGGCCCCTCTCGTTATCCTGGTTTTCAGCATCTTTGGCATTTGCGCAAAGTTGCTCGGGTCGCAGTGGTGGGGTGCGGGGGGGGGGGCGCGCAACTCCTGCACCTGCTTGAGCTGGGCCTAGGGTAAGAGGCGACCCCCCAGTTCCCCCAGTAATGCCTCGGGCTCTCTGGTTTGGGTCCCCGCAGCGTCCGATTGACCGCCAGAGATACGACGAGAACGAGGACTTGTCGGACGTGGAGGAGATCGTCAGCGTCCGCGGCTTCAGCCTGGAGGAGAAGCTGCGCAGTCAGCTGTACCAGGGGGACTTCGTGCACGCCATGGAGGGCAAAGGTGAGGCGCCCCCTCCTCGGGCCGCCCTCCGAGCCGCGGCCCGAGCGCACGTGGGGAGGGAGCTGCCGGTGGCTGGGTTCGTATTTCGCGCCCGCGTCCCCCATTCCAGGGGATCCGGTGACGAAACAAGGCCGAGCACTGGGGGGGAGGGGGGGGGGTGGCGAAGGAGGAGGGCAGGCGGGAACGGGGGCCGGGCGTGGGCCTAGACCCGGCCCGCGCCCACAGCCGGCCCCAAGGTGGGCAGAGCCAGGGGACCGGCGGTCCGAGGGACCTGGGGACTGACGGGTGGACGGAGGGAGGGCGGGTGCGCGGCATTCTACCCCTCCCAGAGCTAGCCCAGCTCCTTGTGCTGAATGAGGTGCGGCTGCCTGACTGGGAGAGGGGCTGGGGTGCCCCTGGGGCATTGGGATGAGGACCCCACTAGGCCTGAAGCTTCCCAAACCCTGTCCCATTTCGGGCCCTGCCAGTTAGGAGCTGGTGCTGGGGATGCTCGGGTCACCGAATGATGCTTCCTCAGCTCCCGGGGTCTGCGGAACCCTGCAACCTTCTGGTCTCTGCCAGATTTGAGCAGGGGCTGGATGAGTTCAGAGCTGTTGGTCGGAGCCCCCACTTACGCCTGAGGCCTCTGGCCCTTCAGTCTTGACAGTTTGAAGTTGGGACTGGGGGTAAGAGAGTTTTACTCCCTCAGGCTTCAGGCTGAGGTCCCTGACCCCTATAGTTTGAAGTGAGAATGTGGGGTACCCCTCTGGGGAACAAAGTTTCTTCTCAGCCTGAGACCTTGAGAGCTCTGTCCCTGGTAGGCCCTGCCAGTTTAGAGAAGTTGGGGAAGCCTCTGGGGTTTTGGGGTGTCTCCCCAGCCTGAGACCTTCAGGGCCTGAGTTTCTCCCTGACCCTAGTATTAGGAAGGTGTCTGGTGGGTCGTGCCAACGCTGGGGTGATGCTCTGGCTTGGGTATGAGACCTCCAGAGGCCCCGTGTGACCTGTGGTTCTGCCTGTGGAGTTGGGGTTTTGGAGATGCCCCTGCCTATCTAGGTATTTCCCTGGGCTCTCTGGGGTTTCTAAGTTGTTTTTTTCCCCTCTTAGATATTCAAGTTTCCGTTACAATACACCGTTTTCATTTTTTGACCCCCCCCCCCCACCGTCCCCCTTGGAAAACCTTCCATCCCTCAGTGAGCTGATGACAGGGGCAGTGCCTTCCCCTTCAGGTTCTGGTTGAGTGGCTGGGGCTGTAGGTTAGCCCCCAGAAGAGACAGCCCTGGCTTTGCATTTTTGAAGTTTCTCTTTTGTGCCCACTGCTTCCGGGGGTGCTGGGCTTCAGTGGTAGGGGGTAGTTGTTGGGGGGAGGGAAGAAGACATTTCTTTCAGCCTGCCAGGTCTTTGCACCCTGAGGGTAGACCGTCTGGGGGGCTAGTCTCAACTACAATTAAATTTCCTTAGCATAAATGGGATTTTAATTCCTTTCGTTTCTTTCCCATTTTACTGAGTTTGGTGGATCCTATGAGAAAACAACATGCAAACTCTTCCTAGTCATTTGTGAGGAATTCTCAGCCCAAGATCTGAGTGTTTTCTCAAGCTCATTTGAGGAAGTTGAAGCTGAGGAGAGAGGGGGTGGGGGGCGGGCTTTGGGTGTGGGTGTGTAGGGGGTAGATTCCAGCTAGGGAGAGCCCTTAAATCTTCTGTCCAGGCTCTTTTCAAAGGAGAGGGCCCTAGCGATTTGGTAGTTAATTCAGATCTGGCCCCAAAACTTCGAGGGAGGAGCTGAGAAACAGAAGGAGCCCTTAGCCTGGATTCAAAATAGAAGCTTCTTAAACTTCTCTGCCTTTAAATCCTTAGGAATCCCCATTCACTGTGAGCCCCTGGGGATCTGAGCTGCTAAGGTCAGGGCTTTCCCCAGCTCTGGTTTTGTTCTCTTCCTCTGCTCTGAGCAGAGTTGCCTTGGCCTCCTCCCCCACCAAGCTGCCCTGGTGAACTGTTTGCCTGGGGCAGGGGCTCCCGAGGCCTGTGGTCTCTCCTATCTCTCCTCCAACTGGCCAGGGAGGGCATGTGGCTTTGTGGCCTTGTGGATTGCTTTGGTTCACCTCAGGATTTGGGGATGTGATGGTTTATCTCAGCCTCCTTTGACTCCATATTTAGGGGTAAGGTTGGGTCAGATCCGCTGGTTTTGGAACTCGAGGAACGTAAAAACGAAGGCCTCCTTCATTCTCCAGGGCTTTTGATAAGGGATTTGGGGGTCTACATTAGACAAAGCCGAGACGCAGCACTACCTTGTGAATTGGCTTTGGGCCTCACTGTGCCCTCTTCAAACTGCCTTCACCTGGGGGGAGCGTCCTGGTGGAAACAAGGATGGCAGTAGCTGGAGCAGAATTACACTATTAAGACAACAAAGCTGTGCCCAGTTCTCTAGTAATTTTGGCACCAAATACACAGTTTCCAGGGAAACCAGCTTCCCCCCCCCTCCCCTTCACTATGCAGGATATTACAATAAGATCTTCCCCGATGCTCAGCTACAATGAGAACCCTCCTCCCAGCCTCCTCTCTGGGGCTTCAGATCCTCCCAGGTGGTATTCTTCAATTTTGCACTGCCTTTACTTTCTGAGCTCAGCTTGGGGTGCATTTCTGTGTCCCTCTTTCTCAGCGATGGCTGGGGCCTTTTCTGTGCGGGGCTCTTTCATGAGTCT